TCTGAGATCTTCCCAGAGCTCCTCACCCTCTAGAGCGCTAACATAAAGAAGGTCGTGTTCACCTCTCAGGGTTGCTGGTTCGTTTACCCACTCAGCAGTGACTTACGGAGCTCCTGCGCACACATCAGGCCCCCGGAGGAGCTGGGGAGACAGGGAACAAAGAAGGCAACTTTCTGGTCGGAGTGAATGACAGCCAGCAAGTAGAGTTTAGCCCAGGCCTGGGAACTCGGGTGCATTGGAGGTTGGTTACAGGGCAGGACTCTGGGTGCCCTGCTCAGGTCCTTCCCGACCTTACTTCCCAGTGTCAGTGTCCATTATTATCATCATCGTTATTTTATGTTTTATCTGCATGTATGTCTATGCACTATATGTGTATCTGATGCCCTCAGAGACTAGAAGTTACAGAGTTACAGACAGTTGTCAGCTGCCGTGTGGGTGCTGGGTATTGAACCTGGGTCCTCTGGAAAAGCAGTCCGTGCTCTTAAGCACCAAGCTACCTCTCCAGCCCCAGCCTGAGTTGGTTTGTTTTTGTTTTAACTAATGGAGAGTCTATCCAGAGCTGTCCACAGCTAACCTGAAATCCACCAATGCCTGATGGAATTGGTAGATATACACCCCAGCCTTCCCCACCTGTGGGGTAACAGAGGTACAGGCACCACCCCAGGTCCCAAAGATGCCAACTAGTATTGAGCTCCCGCTGCCCTCCGTGGTCCTCCTCGGTGACGTTCTGTTAGCTGCCTCCCTTCCCCAGCCCCACTCTTCAGGTCCCTGCTGTGTCCCTGGGGTCCTCTTCCAGGAACCACCCGCATTTGGCTCTTCTCAGGTCCCGCATCTGAGGGACCCCCATCTAGGACTTCTCTGTCCCCCCCCTTCAACACTCCCCCAGGGACTTCTTTCCAGAGCAAGAGGTTCCTGGAGCAAAGCAAGGAGGAAGGGCAGCCTGGGCAGCTAGGACCCGAGACCAGGGCTTCCCCTGGCCTTAGTTGACCTCGGAGCTGGGAGAGGAGATGGCAGGAGAGATGAGATGGAATGTTCTGCATGCCTTCAGGATAGCAGGGTCTGGGCTAGCACTGTTCCCGTGTTGTAGATGAGGATGCAAAGGTCAGAGTTCAGATCGGGTAGTTGCTACTGATGGAGGAGGATTTTTTTCCCCCCAGTGGTGGCTTTTCTGGCCTGGGGCATCCTCTCCGCATGGCAGCAATTCTGGCCTCTGGCCACTAGGTGCCACTAGAAACCCCAGGCCATTAGCGCCCTCACTAATGTTTCCAGACTTTGCAGATGGTTCCCAGATGAAAACAACTTCATCACTGTATCTCACCACCTCCTACTTGTGACAAGGGCATCCAGACAAGCTATCAAAGCCACCCACGACTGCCCGTCTGGGACTGAGGCTGCAGCAGAGTGGCGCTTCTAAGCAGTCAGGACAGTCAGGGTTACAGGGGTGTGCTCCAGGAAGGCAGTACCAGGGATGCTCAGGTCTCCAGATGCATCAGCAGAGGGCCACAGGAAGGCAG